CGCTGTATTTAAAAGTAAAGTTGACTTGATACACTTGGGTTCTCCGAAATTTTGCTCTAGTGTGCCATTTGATTTAATAAAATCTATTTGAATCTACTAAAACAAATAAACAAAGGATAAATTTGTTATTTATCAAAAAAAGAAATAAAGGAACTTTAAAGTATATAAATAAACATGATTGATGTATCGAAAAATTTTTTGCAACATTAAAAATCATTAAACTTTATACATTTAACGATATTGTTTTGAATAAATTCTTTAAAAACAATGCTGATTACTACTTGTGTGATTGATTCCAAAAGGAATAAATTAATTATTTTGCAATAAAAGCTGTTTGTTTGTTTGTTTGTTGTTGTTTATTTGATTTAACATTAATGCGTGGTTTCAATTTGTCGCTTTATTTGAATTTATTTGTTTTATTGTGCTTTATTCGTTTTGTTCGCTTTATTTGAATTTATTCGTTTTATTCGAATTTATACGCTTTATTCGAATTATTCGTTTTATTCGTTTTATTTTTTACTTGAATTATTATTATTATTATTATTCGTTTTATTCGAATAAACTTTATTCAAATGGAAACACTAATTACTGCTCAAGATTATGATTCTGTTTCTAGATTTAAAAAAAATTTAATTATCCTTTATTGTTTTTTTTTTCAAAGACAATCGATAAGAAATTTTGTATACATAACCAACCACTTGAGCTATCTACGTTTTTAGGTAATTGATGAATTTAAGATGTCCAATACTTTTGCCATGGTAATGTGTCTATAATAATAATTACGGCATTATTATTACAGTTTTACGGCATTTACGGACCAGAATACAGCGCATGCAGTAACCGCATTGTTTCTGTCTAGCCATTCCTACGGCAAGTATACTTCGAGGGTGGGTCCTTTATAGTTTTTCATGAAATAAAGATTTATTCCTACATTATGGCTAGTTAATAATACAATCATAATTAATGGCTTAAATATTAATAGCAATTGCATGCTTACAAATTAAAAAAAAACAGCTTTTTTACATGACAAAAAAAAAATTTTTTTTAAGGATAGTAATAAGATGAATATTTAAACATTATCAGTTCTATCTGCAACCTCAAATTTAGACTTTACGATCTTATCCTCCTCCAATTCTTCGTCACTTTTCTTGCCAAAATAAAAAATTGACGTAACCGCAACAATCACGCATGCCCAATAGCTGAAATAACCAATTGTTGTACCAAGTGTTGCTTTTTCACGCCATCCAAATATTGCTTGCATAATTGACCAGAATGCATTATTTGTATCACAACATGTTGTATGCCATAACACTGTTTCATGTGATCCAGTTGCTTGTTGAAATTTATGGACTGAAGTTGAAAACATTCCAGCTGCCACAAAAAGAAGAAATACTGTAGTAGCTGTAAAAAATATATTTATTGATACTTTGTGAGCTCCTTTGTAAATGATCCACCCAATAACAAACCCTGACAAAAGTCCAAGAATTACTGGAATTGGTAGTCCTGATGCAGGTTTATTGAATCCAATCTATTTTTGAGATGAATGATTGCTTGAACATGACGTGATTGATTAATTTGATGGCAATAATAATAATAATAATAATTACTTACACCTCCTATGAATACAAAGGTTTCAACAGCTTCACGACATACAACAGTGAATGGTAACAAAATCAAAGCCCATTTATTGCCAGTTTTATGCTTTTCCAAGTAACTTTCAGTTGCTTTTTCAAGTTTTCTTTCCCATTTTTTTCTCCATTGCTGAACTCTGGTCATACCTAAAGCCATGATAGTAATCACAACAGAAGCAATAAGAGCAAACGAACCCTCTATATATACATATAAATATATATAACGTATGTAAATAAATACAAAATACAACTAATGATGATTAAAACTAATAAACCTCATCACAACAGATGCACAGGACACATAATAATAATAATTTAAAATCCATTATGCCAAAATTACAAATCTCGTCATAACGGGTTTTATATGTTTTTATATGTGAAGCAAATTTTTTCAAACTGATATAACGCGAATTTAATCACAATCCGATCTGTTGTGACAAGATTCACTATAGCAAGGTTTGGCTGTATATGAATTACAGTGTGTATGAACTTTACTAACCCCATGCTGGTTCGTTTTCTTCCCATAAATTTTTTGCAACAGTATAAAAAACAGCTATAAAAACACTACCAATTACAATAGAAAGAGCCAAGCCAGCAGCTGCACCGATCCAAATTTGACGTTTAAAAGTTTTTTTTATTGCTGCATCCTTTTCTGGGACAAGTATATCAATGAACCCAAGCAGTACGGCAAGAATTATCGTGACCTCAAGAGTTTCTCGTAAAAGAATGAAATAGGCAGGGATATCGAATAAATATGTCATCTTGGATTAAAAAAAATTTTTTTTGTCGGATTAAAGATCGTAAAGTTGGATTTTTGTTGATTGATTGCCTGCCTTTTTTATAAGAATTTGGAATACATTTTTTATTGATTTGTGGATGCTAATTTTTTTAAAAAAAATTATATATTACATTCTTTTGGTTCTCCCAATTTATATACTGACTATTTAATTCAAAAAAAGTCAATATATACTTCTATTCAAATGATGACGATCATTGAAATTACTAACCCAAACAATATATTCCAAGCTTAATAGTGACCTTGGAATTATTGACCTAATGGATATGTTTTCAAGCTCGACAATGACCTCGAAAATGCTACCAATTGAATATTGTGCGTTTTCAAGCTCAATGGTTAACTAACCAAAAGCTCAACAATGACCACTAGTCAATTATTTCAGATTTTTATGTTACACGTATCAAAACATCTATATATTATTTTTTTTTTCGTAATGTTATTTTTATTGGTTATTTCAAATAATTACATAATAAGCAGAACAATTACCCCCCGTATCTAATTAAATTAGCCGACAGATCACCGCATTTTCTTTAACATATCGTGCGGTTGTTGATTGACCAACATTTAATATGGGTTTGATTCATTTTGTCAACAAATCACTTTACCAACAATTGTTTCGTTAACAAATGGTTCGAATTTAATAAGTTGGAAGCAACCATGCGACAACCCTTTGAAATAGTGTCTAATAAATTAAATTGTACTGCTCAAAATGTTATTTAAAGAGTTGGTTTTATATCTCTTGATATAATCAAAAATAACCTTAATATAATGAATGTTGACGAATGACCAATTTAAGATATACGATTAAGGCAAAACATGACGATGTATGAAAAAACAAAATTTATTTAATAAAAACAAAATTTACCAAAAAATTTTTTTTTGCATGTTCTAATAAAATTTCCATCGTTGCTGCATCATCTGTTGCTGATTCAACATTATCCGGATCACCATCAACTGTATTTTCATTATTTTCAATAAATTCTTTTCATTTAATCTTTTCGTCGTACTTTCTTTTAGTGCGTTGACATTTTTTTTGATTTCGACTTGAAGATAGTCCAAGCATATCAAACATTTAGATTGTGATAACCATGTCCACACGTGAGCACACCTGGGTTTCTATTCGCAATACAAATTCTTATTCGAATTAAAAAATTTATTTTCGTTTTATTCGTTTTATTTAAATTACTAGTTTATTCATTTTATAAAATATAGATCTTATTTGTTTAACAAGATAACATTAACAATAATTATATTTATAATCTATATTACTACTATAATTGTACTACCATGGCTTAAGGGAAATGTCAGCTACTACTATTTATTATTATCACTATATTCAAGGACTAAGGAAAAATAGATAAAAAATTTTAATTGGATTGGATAATTTTATTATTATCGCTCATTTTATTCGAATTGCTAGTTTTATTCGAATCATTAATTTTATTCGAATTAAAAAAATTATTCTAATTATAATAAAATTTCAATGTAATTCGAATACTCAAATTAATAATGAATAAACGAATGAACCAAGGTTGACGATGATACTGGTCTATTGGTGTAAAATTAATTTTCTTTTTTCAAGGTGAATGATCTTGTTGCCAATAAGGAACGAAACAACATTATTGTTTTAGAAATAGAAGTATTTGCATTTTTATATTTATTATAATAAAATAAAAATAAAAATCAATGTATAATATGTATATAAAGTAAACGCAATTTCAAAATATCACAATATGCATATATTTTAGATTATTGTAATTTAAACGCGGTGAAGAAAATTTGGAATTAGATCAGTCTAAAAGTATGATTATTGATATTTATAATGATAAAATTTTTTTCTTATCTTGATTGAGTTGCAATTTTTAATTTTGCAATAGCAATAATTATTTGTTTTAAGAAGCAATGGTCAACCCGGTAACGCAATATATATATATATATATATATATAACTGTATATATATACATGGGACAGTTCCTATTTATCAGTCCTGTAAAGTGTAATAGGTTAGTTTAACTCGATTGATCTTTGATCTTATTTGATTCTAATATAAAATGGAAATGGAAAATGCTAATGATAATTTTATTTTGTCACTCGTATTAAATCAAAAGTTTGATTTGATTTTATGATTTTATTTTATGCGTTTAAGATTATATTTCAATAAGATTATTTATTATGCATATGTGGTGCAGAAAGTTGGGAAGCTAAACAGCATTCTCAGAAATTTGATTCTAAAATATTTTTATTGCCCCAACATGACGTTTTCTAATTGAAAAAATAAAGGCTATCACTTAAGACTTAATCAAATCATCTAGAATTATGCCACAAGTAGATAGGTGGAAGCTTAAATTATATGGAAATATCTTTATGTGCATAATTCATCCAATTGAAGGTAAAGAAGATGAAAGCTTCTCTATGGAGCGAATATCACCAATTGATGAGTGAAGAGTGAAAATATTCTAAAATTAATCACTAAATAATTGCATTGCACTTACTGACTCGTAAATGGTTTGATAGAAAGACTTCTTCTCCAATAATGATATAAAATGCTTCTTCAAAGCTATAAATTTAGAATTAAAATTATTTTTCATTGCCTACTAATAACAAAGGCATTGTTTTTTTTTGGATTAAGAGGGTTTATAAATACTTGCTTTGGAATATCAATTTTTTTTCAATTTTTTTATTTGTGTCAATTGAATTCATTGTCCAAGTTTATTTTTTTTCTTTTATAAGAATTATAGTGGCTATTAGAAACCAACTTTATAATATAACTGGTGGAATTTGGAAATTTATTTATTTGTTTTGGTATGTTTTTTAAAATAACGTTATTCTGATGAATGTCAGGTTAATAAACTATTAATAATAGCTTCTTCAGATTTATTATTATTATTATTATTATTATTTGAACCATGAATATTTGGTTTTGTTCATTAAAACTTTTATTGCCATTTTCTAAAAAAAAACTCATCATGTACAAGTACAAAAAAATGCCAAAAAAAAGGTTGCAACTTTTATTCGTCAAAGATGGCTATTATTATTATTATGTTCATTAACATTCGCAAAAGCAAATTCAGCTAATGTTGTTTCATTCCTTATATGAAATGGCTCTGCAATTCTGCTGTTGTTAAACGACGGCGCGCGTACTTGAAAGCGGGATGGCCTTTTTTTATTTATTCAACAAAGGCAAATGAAAAGAGTAGAGAGAGCGTAGAGAGAAAAAAGGAACGGTTACAGCAGAGACTGAAACATGGAGACGACTCACAACCAAACAGTTAAAGTTTGTGTTCTTTAGTGGAGTTTGTTGTATGTGTATGGATAAAATATTTGCCTTTTCGATGGCATGCCGTAAATTCTATTACGTAATTACTAATCAAAGCAGTCAATCATTTAAAGTGTTATGACTTGCTAGATTGTTATTAAAAATGAAGAAGAAAATAAAACTGTTCATTCCCATGGGCTCCTTGAGTCGGAAATTTGAGGGTTAAACAAATTTGAGAGACCTTATGGTGATGATCGTCGTTGTAATGATTGATATAGATGATATGCACACCGTATCCAATTATCATCAAAAAAAAAGAAAATAATGGCGGTAAATTTTCTTTTCATTTTTTTTTTTTTTAGTATGTTTAAATTGTATCATCTTTTAATTATTTATTTTATATAAAATAAGTTTCAACCAGTAAATCCAAAACCTTTTTTACAAGAATTAACAGGTAAACCCGTTATGATACGTTTGAAATGGGGCATGGAATATAAAGGGTACTTGATGTCGGTTGATTCTTATATGAATATACAACTTGCTAACACAGAAGAATTTATCGATGGCAATTCAACTGGTGCACTTGGTGAAGTATTGATTAGGTGGTATAAATATAAACATATAAAAAAGATATGTATTATTTTTTTTCAATTATCACTTATATAATTTATATAATATATAATAGATGTAATAATGTTCTATATATTCGAGGAATTGAAGAGGATACAGAAATGAGTGGTGGAACGTAAAATTAGATTTCATTTTTAAAGTATAGAAGTTTTTATAGAAATTATTATTAAAAACTAATAAAAATTTAAACCAATTATATATATAAATAAATTAAAATTATAGTTCTGACAAAATTGCTTGTTTATTTTTGTGTGATGATGAAGAAGAGGAAGGTGTAATATAATTGGGATTTTTATCTGGTATAGGTGGTGATTCAACCTCCAAGTCATGTAATTTTGTTTCTAATGATTCTAATTCTTGATCTTTTACTTTTATTGGTTGCTTCACTTCTTCTTTCAGCGCCCTTCTTTCTTCTTCTGCAGCTAGTAAATCCTCTAATTCTTTTTCTAATTCATCGTCAACATCATTATTTAATGCTGCATCAAGTATTGAATCCTGTCCTGATTTCATAGCATCATCAATTTCCTTTTGATCTGCAAGAACTTCTTGTAGATGATCCATTGTTTCATCTACTTTATCAATACTTAGACCACTTATGGCCAATGTATTTTGCAATGCATCAGCCCCAGCTTTATAACCTTCAATTATCTTTTTATTTGGTGTGGATGAATGGAGAAATAAATATCGATTAAAATTGGAAATTAATGTGGAGGAAATTTAAATTTTAAAATTTTTTACCTCTGCATCAGATACAGCTTCTTGAATTTTTAATAGGATTGTTTCAACTGTTTCCAAGGAATTTATTCTTTTAACTAAAATTTTATCAAGTAGTAGTTTTTTTCGCAAATCTCTCATTGCTAGTGCTTTCTGTTTAAGAGAAATGTATTTACTAGCGGCTGTCTTTAACCTATCAAAATCATAAAAATAATTGTCAAAAAAAAAAGGGAAAAATAATTCACAATAATTCACTAATTCGAAAATACATACTCTTTGATTCGAGTTTCTATATCTTGAATTTGTTCGAGTAGTTTCCGTGATGTTTCTTTTATTGTAATAATATTACAATCCAATTCCGTAATTTCAAGTTTTAATTTATTATTATTTTTTTTCAAACAAAACTTGATCACCAAATCATCAGGATTGCTATCATGTTTGTGAAGAGATTCATTACTCAAATTTTTTGTTACAATGACTTTACGATCATATTCTAAATAAGTGATTAACACTTTTATGTCAGTATCTGTAAGCACTGAACCAGGAATTATTTTAGTTGCAAACTCTGACTTAAATGTAGCAAGTGTATAAAGATTATCAGAAATCTGATTTAGTGCAATTTTTTCATGAAGTTGGATAATTTTAGTTGATGATTCTTTCAATTTATCCATTTTCACCCATTTTCCTGAAATAATATTAACAGGCTCTGATCCTGTTAAATTTTGAAATGTCCATGCTATTGGTTGTGATACTAACCTAGTGTATATCCAACTTAACCAACCCTGTGAAATAAAAGTTGAACAATACTCTTTAAGAGGCATCAATTCTGATTCTAAATACATTTCTTTCTAATTATTGTTTTAGAAAATAAGTAGAAAATACAATTTAGATGAAAATACAACAATAAATAACCAAATGAGAATAAAAGAATAAAACATACAATAACACATTGAATCCCAATAGGTTCATGTCCATTATAACTTGCAAATATTTTTTTGGTGGAGTCGCTTATTTCTATGCAAAAAACATCTTCGCCTAGCCATTTACTTCTACTACACTCGTCTAAAATTTTCTTCCAAAAGTTTATACAATCAATATACACCGCATTATCAAAATCTTTTTGATTTGTGAAGTCAGACCAATACCAACGAAATTTTTCTTTTGTTTGAGTTTCAGGCAATGAATTGACATAATCTACAAATTCTTTATTTTTAGAGTTTTGATTCATTGTTAACTTTTTTAATGAATGAAAGAATGAGTTAGGAGAGATGACAAATGTTGATCTTATCAAATAGAAAATCATGCCCCATTTATCATTACACATGTAAAATAAGTCGGTCACTATAAAAAAACCGACATTGAATCGTGTAACGAACATTTTTGGACTTTTTAATAAAATTTCCTGATGATCACTATTATCGTTTTAAAATGAATAGTAAAAAAAAACAATAAAACCTTGGTGAAGTGATTGTTGACAAAATCAATCAAACCCAACATTTATTTTTACGTTGTCAAATTCACGATTTTGATTGGTCAATCAACAATTGTATGGGTTAAAATTTTGTTACCTGTTCTTATTCCTTCGCTCAAAACAAATAATTGTTTTTTATGCGTCAATGTCAATACTTAATAAACGTTCTGGTCTTGAGGTAATTCTTGTTTTATAATAAATTGATCAGCATTTCTCTGATTCATCAATTAAACTTTATAATTTAATGATATTGTTTTGAATAAATTCTTTAAAAACAATGCTGATTACTACTTGTGTGATTGATTCCAAAAGGAATAAATTAATTATTTTGCAATAAAAGCTGTTTGTTTGTTTGTTTGTTGTTGTTTATTTGATTTAACATTAATGCGTGGTTTCAATTTGTCGCTTTATTTGAATTTATTTGTTTTATTGTGCTTTATTCGTTTTGTTCGCTTTATTTGAATTTATTCGTTTTATTCGAATTTATACGCTTTATTCGAATTATTCGTTTTATTCGTTTTATTTTTTACTTGAATTATTATTATTATTATTATTCGTTTTATTCGAATAAACTTTATTCAAATGGAAACACTAATTACTGCTCAAGATTATGATATTATTTTAGCACAAAGAGCTTTAGAAATATTTACAATATAAAAGAACTATTGGTTTATTAAATTAAGCCAATAATTAATTAAAAAATAGTATTAATTTTAAAAGATATCTGATAATTTCAATATTTACTAATAAATAGGCTTTTAGACTATATGATAAAAATACTAAGAATATTATTAACTTAACATGCTAATACCTTGATTATTTTTTTTAAAGAATATTGGCATTCAGATATCAGGTCCTGATATTTACTGATACCCCATTACCAAACTTGGGATCATTTGACCAATAAAAAGAGAACCAATAGATTATACAGTCTCCGGCGAAAGTAATGGCGGTGATAATTTTTTTAAAAACTAAAAATTTTTAATAAGCAACTATCAATAAA